CTACGTTTGGACTCTAATTAAAAGTAAACTAATCTTGAAAATTCGTTTACAATGGTTTTTTAAAGTGAAATCTCTGGAATTCTATATCTCAGAAAGGATTGTAATTCTCCTCAAAATTAAGATTTACTTTGAAATTGTTCTTATCCATACTTCTATGAATATGACTTTTTAGTTACTTTCGACGCAAATTTGATGAATTTCGATCATGGCTACGGCAGTTTTTGCATCGTATCGCCTTATCAATCCGGTGTGTAGGTTTAGCTTTTTGTTTGATACGTGCTTTGTTCCTTAAATTATTCTTTTTATAGTTATTTTTCAAATTTTCGATTTGTAAATTTGAAATTTTCAATATTTCTTCTATTAAAAATATGGTAAAACTTCTGAATCAAGCTCGACTAACAGTGATCCTTAACTTCTCATTATTTCTTTGCAAATCTTAGACGTGAGCGAAACCGAATCCTAGAAGTTTCCTTTTAGGACATCAGTGCCGATATTTCACAGATCTTGTATGTGCTATTCTTCCACAAAAGTGCTATAGATCTTCAGTTTTTTATATTTTTTTAAATCTGCGGTGATCACTAGCGTTAAAACCGTGAAATCAATGACCTTTTTCACATTATTCCTATATATAGCATTCTATGAATTCGCGCAATGATGTGCCGATGGGATTGAGAAAGAGATGATCTCTTAAGTTAAAGCGGAGGGTTTCGGAAAGTGAGTTATAGAAACAGTTTCTGCCACAAAAAGCGTCAATGAGGGTTTTTGAGCACTAGATCGATGGATTCATGGCACCTCTGCAATCAGGTATAAAATAGGCCAGCATGGGATTGATCTAGAAAATATATCGTAGTGTAGTTCGCCATTTCAACAATGTGGCTATAGAAATCCAGGTTTCACTTTACGGATTGAACAACAGGCGGTATGTAAATCTTGATTGTTAAATTTTACGCAAAGATGAAATTAAATACGGCATAAATTCTGCTGACCTTTTTTCTGTTTTATCTGAATTTCATATATTTTGTGTTGCAAACTTGTTTTTATAGTTAAAGCTCAACTCGCGAAGTTTGATGTAATCATGCTCAGCATGGTGCCTTAGTTTCTGATATAATCAAACCAAACAATTGTTGTCGAAACCTTTTTTGGTTTTGTAATGGAATTTACTTGATAACTTGAGTGCATTTTCTCGTTACGCAAAGTTTTGAACTTTACCCTTCGGAATTTAATGCTGCCATCAAATAAGGACTGGAAAGTCATTTTCGACTTTTTGTTAGCAGAGCGGCGTCTTTGATGACTTTATGTAACTGATGGAA